AATTATCCATAACTCTTACCCTTCTAAGGCGGTGGAGACGCAGAATGGTGTCCCTGTGGGCTCGGCGGACACAGAGACGGTAGCTGACGTCATGATCACCATCCGAGACGTAAATGACGAACCGCCGATGTTCAACAGACGAGAGTACCGTGCTTCCGTGCCCGAGAATGTGCCCGACGGAACACCACTGCCGAATTTGGACATGTTCGTGCAGGATACCGATGTGGTGAGGAGGATTTTAAAGGGATTTTGTCAGGTTTAAGTTATGTAGAGAATGTGTCAATTTTTTATTAGTTTTTTTCCTAATTTACTAGATTCTAACTACTGTGGGAGGAAGGGATACGATTTATATGTTTAACCACCCTTGTGTCTTTGACTTTTCCTTGTTTTGTTATGATTACCTTGTATCTTTAACCAATTTGCCTATTTTCACCGTTAACGTTTTATAAATTTACATTACTTAATTGATTAATTACCTTCAACTATAGTTTGACCATTACTAAATTACTTATAACCCGCAGATTACTAATTAGCTTATACCACACAGGGCTCCAACTCCGTGTTCAGTCTGCGCCTCGTGGATTCCTCGGGCATCTTCAGCGTGGAGCCCGAAGTGGCCTCTGGCTCGTCCTCCGTCAGTATCAGGGTCGCTCGGGGCCCTCTCGACTTCGAGAACCCGAATCAGCGGAAATTCCTCCTGCAGGTAATGAGGATCCGAGTCATTTTCCGTTTCTTTACATTTTATTTCATTTTACTTACTTTGTGTTTTATTTTCTTTATCTTTTTCTTTCTTTTCCGTTCTTCATTCTTTCTTTCTTTTCTCTCTTTCTTTCTTTCTGTCTTTCTCTCCCCCGGTCACTTTCGCTTGCTACATAGAATTAGCATAAGTAGGAATACAATTTCTTTATGGGAATTTCAGATGAGAAATATTCACCTGTTCTTTGCGGGAAATACTTTCATATGATAAATATCTAATTCACTTACAGATTATCGCCGAGGAATTTACGCGAGAAATCTCAAATTCACACCATATTTTCATTGAGGAATTTACATGAAAATTTTGATTCACTCACAGATTGGAGACTAGGAATTTACATGAGAAATGTCTTAATGAAGTCACTGATTGTTGCTTAGATATTTACATGAGACCTCTAGTTCAATCACAGATCGTTGCTGAGGAAGTTACATAAAAAAATCTGATTCACTCACAGATCATTGCTTAGGATTGAACACGAGAAATCTCTTGATTCTCTCAAAGATTGTCGCTTAGACATTTACATGAGAAATCTAATTCACTCACAGATCATTGCCTAGGAATTCACATGAAAAAAAAAATGATTCACACCGATCGTGGCCGATGAATTAACACGAGAAATCCCTTAATTCACTCACAGATTGTCGCTGAGGAGACGCTGACGAACCCACGCCTGTCGTCCACCGCCACCGTGGTCGTCTCCGTCACAGACACGAACGACAACCCCCCCAGGTTCGATCAGGAGGCCTACACGGCGGTCGTCTCCGAGACAGCTTCTCCAGGCACCGTCGTGACTACCATCGTCGCTTCGGACAGAGACACGGGCCAGTTCGGCGCGGACGGGATCAAGTATTCGCTCTTCGGAAACGGTGCTGAGAAGTAAGTAGGGGAGGGAAAGGGGCGAATGGAGTTGTGTGTACGAAGGTAATGGGTGCTACTGAGTCGTATTTTCCTTATTAGATTAACTTTTTCAATTTAATAAGACTGTAGGATGTCAGGAAAATATTCGATTTTTTCCCCTTATTCTGGATCTGTTGTCTCTTATTCACGAGAAATTATCTTTTTCCGTCAGATTTGAGGTAGATGCTACTTCAGGAGTGATCACAGTGGCATTCTGCGACACCCCAGGCCAGGGGAACTGCCTGGACTTCGAAGAGCGACCCACCTACTTCCTGTCATTCCAGGTAAGTGTCATTGCATCTTACCCTCCCAACAACCCAACACACATTTGCCATTAAAACTAAATCGCAGATGAATCTTCGAGTCCAGCAGAATATCTGAGCTCATACATTCCATCATCCCAAGCCCTTATTAATCTTTTTCTTTTTTTGTTTTTTTTTTGTTTTTTTTTCGATCAGGCCACCGACGCAGGAGGATCAGGACACACAACAGTGGTTCCCGTGCGAGTCTCTCTGGCCGACAGCAACGACAGTCCGCCCAAGTTCACTCGTCAGCAGTACCGTGCTGTCATCGACGAGGGCGCTCCGGATTTCGACCCGCCCCTTGTCGTGCAGGTGATTCTGCAGGGGTTTTGATAAGGATTAGATAGATATTCCGGTTGCAATCTGCGTGGATTTGACAAGGATTAGATAGATACTTCGGTTGTATTCTGCGTGGTTCTGATAAGGATTAGATAGATACTTCCGTTGTTACTATGCTTTGCTACTAATACTAATGTACTCATTGATATATGATGGAATATGATTTACTCTTAATACTACATGGTTTAGATGAGGATGCAACAGGTACTGTGATTTCTGTAACTAACACTTGTTTTATTCAAAATCTGGATTATATTTTATGATAGATTTTGATTTTGTGAATTCTGACAATTGATCATTTGCGGCTTTAATGTCTCGATAGGGACTGGAAGTAAAGATTGATTAGACAAAAGAAATTATAACAAGTATGATTATATTAATTTCCAAGAAAATGATCGCCAACAACATATTTTGTCATGAAAGCCAAACAAACGCCTCATCAGCATACAATTTATCCCAAATTAACCCAAATCAACCATAACCTTACCACCCCCCCCAGGCCGAGGACCCCGACGCCACCTCCAACGTGGTCTACAGCCTCGTGGGCGGCGACCCCGACGGCCTCTTCACCATCGACAGGACTTCGGGGCGCATCCGCGTGGCCAACGAATCCGGACTGGACATTTCCAATCTGCAGTCGGATTTCATCATTCTCACGGTTGAGGTAAAGAAAAAAAACAGAAGAAAGTTCATGGTACTGTACCATATATATATATATGTGTGTGTGTGTGTGTGTGTGTGTGTGTGCGTGTGCGTGTGCGTGTGCGTGTGTGTGTGTGTGTGTGTGTGTGTGTGTGTGTGTGTGTGTGTGTGTGTGTGTGTGTGTGTGTGTGTGTGCGCGTGTGTGTGTCTGTTTTGTTAATATTAACCACTTAATAAAGTTAATATAGTAATGACACAAGAATATTCATAATGTATTTTTTTCTTTTCTTTAGGCCAATGACGGAGAAGGTTCCCACACTGCTAATGTCCGGATATCAGTCAGAGATGCCAATAACAACAGGCCAATCTTCAGCAAGAATCCTTATCAGGCAGCTGTGCAGGAAAATGCAGCAATTGGTAAGTATTTTTATTAAGTAAAACGAAAATTGCAAGATATGAAATTGGCAGAAGGAATCTCACGAACAGAAGTAAAGGAAATAAGGTAATAGATTTTTTGTGCGTTAAACTTGACATATTTTTTTTTCTTTCTCACTTTCTTTCTTTGTATAATGGAATAAAATTATTCCTTAGAAGAAAACCCACCATGAAATGAGATCAAACTAAACCAGATTTTTGTGCAGTCCACGATAATTCTCCATCAATGGTAACAGATACTCACACGTTTTACATTCTCCGCTATTCTCTCCCATTTCCTCTTTCTCAGTCCATATTTTTTTACCCTTTTATTATTACAGGGAGTGTTGTAGAGCAGGTGTCGGCCAGCGATGCAGACACAGGAGCCAATGCAATGCTAACTTACCGCATCCATCGAGGTGGCTACGATGACTTTTCCATTGATGGTGCAACGGGCATCATAAGTGTTGCAAGGAAACTCGACTATGACAAGCGAGAGAGCTATGACATTGAGATTGTTGCAACGGATGGAGGTATAGTTGTTAAGAGCTTTAATTGATTTTTAATTCATTTGGGTATTTGTAATGGATTATAATGCAGGAACAGATGGGAAGTATTCATAGAGCATCAACAGGCATTAAGGAATTATTCTCCACTACTCAGATTTTTTTATTGTTTTTTTTCTATTCTGTAGATCTGTTATGATTTGGATCATTTTGGACAATTTTTATGACCTGAAGGGGGACACCTTATCACTGATAAAATGATAAAAATGCAGTCATCAGAGAAATAACTTTTCTATAACCTACATCTTTATGTTATCAGGAATACCACGTCTGACATCTACAACCACCTTGACTGTGAGTGTCATCAACAACAATGACAAAAGCCCATACTTCACCCCTACAACCCAGAGGACTCAGGTATAGTCAAAAAGCTTTGAAATATGGTAATAGAAGCAGAGAGCAGAGGGGAAAAACAAATTACTATTATATAGATTTCTGGATGTAATAATAAAAAAATAGAGATCTTAAAAGTAAAGCTTTCATTTTCCAAGTTTGAAAGAATTTTTCATAGCATGAATAAAAAAAAAATCGAAAGAAAATACATAGAGATCTAATCAAATTTTTCCTCACTGACAGGTATCCGAAGATGTTCAGCCTGGAACGATGTTTTACACTTTGTCAGCACAAGACCCAGATGTTGTTGGGGAAGGAGCCCTTATTTATGGCGTTCAGTTGCCAGTCTCGGCAGTGGATGGCGATGGACGACCGGTGGAAGGGCCTTCAAGAGATGCTTTGGCTGTTAGTTTCTATTCCTGATGTTTTGTCCAATAAGGAAAAGAGATAGATTTTTAAAAATCTCTATAGAAGAGTAATTGTTACTTTTATTTCTAAAGAAGTCTGAATTCTGCTAAGGATCTCATATAAGTCTGTCATTCAAGATACCATATTTGTAGCAGGGTATTTGAGTAGTTGGCAGATATGGTATTCATATACTTACCAACTATCGCACATGTATCTTATACATTGTGAAACTACATAACTGCATAATTGTACTACATGTGATGTATCATAATGATATTAATGTTTTGTCCTCTTCTCCCAGGAAATGTTTGTTGTGGATCCTAAAACTGGAATGGTCACAGTGGCAGGAAAGTTGGACCGAACCATGGCCACAGAAGTCACATTAACTGTCACCGTAACTGACACTTCTGCAATACCACCACAGGTGAGAAAGAAATCAATTTATATGATAATAAGTAAACATTAAAGAAAACTAGCTGACCCATTTTTATTTCATGTGTTCTTGTCTGTTATCTGTTATGTCAAAAGGACAACACAATATTCACCCTGTTGATACCATATATGGAAAATAATTTTGCATGAGACTATATGATATTATCATCAAACTAATATAAAGTGTTATTAAACATCAGCAATTAGTGACTATTTCCAAAGTACTCAGTTAACAAACACAGTCCACAAATTCATAAGCTTTAAGAGGATATGATACTTTACTATCAAGCACTAAATTTCTTAAAAGGCATCATCCTCATAGCCATACCTATTCTTCTTCATATCCCAGGTTGGTCAAGGTAATTTGGTTATTACTATTGTGGATGTGAATGATTTTCCGCCTGTGTTTCCTGCACCATGGAGTCCAAACTCACCTACCATTCAAGTCAAAGTCGCAGAGGAGCTGCCAAGAGGCTCTCTTCTGACCACCATTACAGCATCTGATATTGATTCCAATATAGGTAAGGAGGGGTCCTTTCTGTACTGTATTTTATATTCTCTGAAACTGGAGATAGACAAAGCTAAAAGGACTTAATCCCTAAGTATGTTGCTTTTGTGTTTTTTCAGTTCAGTAATGAAAAAATCACCTTTAAACACTATATATATTTCTCTCTGTAGGAGGATATTCACTAGCAGAGCCATCAGAGCACTTCAGCCTCGACAATGCGACCGGTGTTATAACAGTGAAAGCTCGACTGGATTATGAGACCCAGCCCCAGCTTAGCTTCACAGTTGTAGCTCATGATACAGGTGTTCCTACTTTATCTGCAACAGCTACAGTGATAGTACAGGTAAGAGTGTACACTACACAGTCTTACACCTATGTTGGCTCCATAACATGATATATGAAAGTCAAATGCTGTAAAGTACCAAAAGACCTATATATTTACAAAATCTTATTTTGGGAAACTGTTGTCTCAACTTTCGATGAACTTGTATTTGTATATTGGGTTTTCTCGTCAATGTATCACACTGTATCTCTTAAACAAACTTGACATTACTTTTTCTCTACTGTAAAACACAGTTCATGCATATCTCAAACTTTAAATTTCTCTTGAAGTGTGAATTTGAGAATGTTTCCTTTCTCTTTTCAGTTGGAAAATATAAATGATGAGGAACCAGTGTTCAGTGCCTCAGTTTATGATGCTGATGTGGCTGAGAACTCTCCACCAGGAACATCTGTCATTACTGTTACTGCAAGAGATGCAGATGAAGGGGACTTTGGAGTTATTACATATTCCCTTGCTGGTAGGCCTCTTTACCTTTTATACACTCACTATTGTATTCACTCATTTGAGACAGTCTTTATCAGATATATATAAATTAGCTACTGAACTGTCAAGCAGTTTTCAAGAGATTAATAATACTAACTGTGAAAATTTTAGAAATCATGATCCAAAATATATAAATAGAGATGTAGATGTAAATATACTATAATAAAAAAAAATTGTGAGCACCAAACAGGGTGTTAGGTTGTATGAAAATAACTGTACTGCTATATAATCATTCAAGTTCATGACAGGGAGACATGTGGCCTCTTTATTCCCACATAAATTCAAGACTGGATATATCCAGTCATGAGAGTGTGAAGTTTAGATTTTAAATTTGGCAAAGTCATGTATAGATAATAATATATGCTATGATCATGAGACTAATAAGAGCTCTCCATCCTTAGGTGATCACCATGAGCATTTTGCGATAGATTCTTCAGGTCTAGTGACAGTGAGAAATGGAGCATTACTAGATCGGGAATCTCTGGCAGCTGTTGTGCTTAGAGTTGTAGCCACAGACTCAGCACCTGAGAACCACCGTCGACAGTCCTCTGTGCCAGTGAGTACAGTGGATGTCCTTTTTACACTTGGCTTTTTCTGTAAATGCATAAATCTTATTTATTGACTAGTATATACTTCAGTTCCAACTTTAATTCCAACTCTAGTTTTCATTCATTATTATTCATTTCTTTTTACCAGTTGCACATCTCCATAACGGATGTGAATGACCATGCGCCAGCTTTCAGCCAGGAATCTTACTCTGCCAGTGTGGTGGAGAATTTGCCCCTCAACCCTCCAGCACCCATTGTTCAGGTCACAGCCCATGACAATGATCAAGGCATCAATGCCCTTATTAGATACACTATCACACAAGGAAATGAGGAAGGTAAAACTTTTTTTTATTTTACATGAACATTTGAAGGACTTTCAAGGTCCTTAGATCTATTTTCAGTGTTTCACTAACAAAATATGTTTTATGCCAATGCTATCATCTAAAAGTTTCAAATGACAATATGAATTAAAAACCACATAGATATATATATAATACTGTCTTAACAATATTTCAGGTTCTTTCACCCTTGACCCTGATATGGGCATTCTCTATCCTGCACAACCACTTGTTGCAAAGCCAAGCAACTATAACCTCACAATAGAAGCTAGAGACCTGAATGGAACAGGTAAAGTGTTATCTTAAATTGCTATTTCCTTTTCCCCTCGTTGCATATCCTCTTCAAAATGATATTCTATTATTCTAATGATAATAAAAAAGCTTATTAAAAAAAATTTAAATCAAGTACTTACATAGAGAGAATAATCATGGATGACAGATAATATATCTAGCAAATTGATTTCAATATGATATTTTTTTCAGGTGAATATAGTGACTTTGCAAACGTGGAAATCACAGTCTTACCCCAGAACCAATACAAACCCAAGTTCATTTCTCCGGCTTTACCAAACACAACAGTGTTGGTCAAGGAGGTTGGTCATTTCTTTTCTTTTGTGACAAATTTAAGGACTAATTATCTATTTTAATGTAATTTCAGTGTAATACTCTAATGTGTACATAGGCATATCTGTATGTATATGTGTGTGCAGGTGTGCATATGTATGTATACATATCTCTTCCTTCATATCATATATAACACAAGACTAGACAATGAATTTTAAAGTATTTTTTGTGTGCAGGCATATATTCTGAAGCATTGAAATCTCAAAGATTTTTATTTTATTTCTTAACACAAAACAATTCCTGAAACTACTGATTTTGCAGAACTGGAGTTCAGAAGTGCAAGAGGTCCTAATCGTTGAAGCAGAAGATAAAGACACAGGAAGCAATGGAGAAGTGCGTTACCACTTACGCATTGGTGAAGAAAATCTCCAAGACACGCCACAGTTCCATCTTGACCCTGTTACAGGAGCACTGTCAACCAAAGTTGTTCTTGACAGAGAAGAACAAAATAAATATGAGGTAAAAGGATTTTCTTTAATTGGTATAGATGGTTTAAACATATAAGTGTCATTTCTATATCATATATTTTTCTGTTTTTTTCACAACACTTTTTAATTCTGTATGTGTTGTTTATGTTGATGAGATTAATAATAGAACCTTCCTCAACAGCTTGTTCTTGTGGCCAAAGATCAGGGCTCTCCAATATCATATGAGACTCTCCGCTTCTTGACTGTTCTTTTGGAAGATGTGAATGACAACCGTCCAGTCTTCCAAAGAAGCAGTATGCCACAAGCTTATCACTTCAGTGTTGCTGAGAATACAGCAAAGCACACCTCAATTGGTATGTCCTGGGAGAACTTGTAATGTGCAAATCATCTTTAATATCAATTTGAGGAAAACAAGCATAGAATAACTTGAACTAATTAATTCACCTTTCCTTTACAGGTCAACTTCGTGCATACGATCCAGATGCTGGAATCAATGCCAAAATCTATTACTACTTAGTATCTGGTAATGCACATGAGAGTTTCTACCTCGACAAATTACATGGTAACCTGTACACCAATGCTGTCCTGGACCGAGAACAACTTGATAAATATACGTTGGTTGTCAAAGCCACAAATGACCCGATATTCACGTGGGATCAGACTCAGGAGGTTGTCTACGATGAAGATGACCCAACCTTGGCAATAGTAACTGTGAATATTGAAGATGAAAATGATACCCCTCCTCGATTCTTGAAGGATGAATATTATGCAGGTTAGTTATAGAATATATCATATTATATATATATATAGATAGAGATAGAGATAGAGAAAGAGATAAAGATAGATATATATAGCATAATATATTATATTATATTATATATAGTTATAATTTAGCTATACAAATAAATTATAGATACTTTTTAGAATAATTTTTTCTTCATTATGCTTTTTCAGTTACCCTCACTGCTCTTCTTAAAAATGAATATATTATATGGAATTGGTTAATCTAACTACAAGCCATTTCTTATAGGGGTTAATTATGAAGCAGAAGTAGACCGATTTGTACGGATGGTGAGTGCTGTTGATGGAGACGCTGGACTTAATGGTACCCTGTCTTACTCCATCAGAGCTTCCAATCTCTTCAGACCAGGTAAGGGATTGTCCAGTAATATCTGTATGTATATTTGGATTAATTTAATACCTTAGGTATCGTGCTGGAAAAGATTGAATTAATTCAGTGTTAATCTCAAAATGATATTCAGTTAAGTATATTGAGGACATAGACTGTCACTTAGTAATAAAAGTAGTAATAACGAACTCTTATGTATTTTGCAGGTGATGTCAAATCTATTGGATCCATCATTCCATCACCTTTCAATGTGACTCAAGATGGCAAGTTGACAACAGCTTCACTCATGTCACAGTACAGACGCCACAGATTCCTCTTGCAGATCCAGGCAAAAGAGGAAGCTCCTCCGCACCGTATTGCCAAGTGCAACGTCAATGTAAGGGCTGTTTGCATTTTTTTTTTCCTTTTTTTTTATTTTTCACTTTTCCTGCTTTTGTGATGTTGGAGAAAAAGTTTTGTAATTTGTTAATAGTGATTTTAATAGTGATGATCTTCACATACTTTACCTTTTGATGAGACAATATTTGAGATAAATACAACTTATCATTTTATTTTCTGTTCACATTATATTTGTTAAGTTACACAAAATACAAATGTCATTAGGTATGGGTGTGGGAGAGAGAAGACCTTGTGAGGGTTGTTCTTGCTCAGCCCCCGGAAGAGGTGGTGCGTCAACAGGAGGCCATTGCCAGTACTCTGTCTGAGGTGAGTGCTTGCCTTGAACTTTCCTCTTCATCAGTACTTAATATACAGTTAGTGGGATGGAATCATGTCTTTAAAAGAATAAGATATTAAATGCAACCTGGTCTATTTTTTTAATATACTAAATGTATACTAAATTACTACTGCTGTTATATGTATGGCTGGTTTTACTGTTTTTATATAGAGAACTTTGGTCTTTTATTCTTCTGCCCATTTACTGATAAATCCACAGGTCTGTGAAGGAACAGCTGTAGTTGATGAAATAAGGTATCATGTGGACTCCGACAACACAGTGAACAGACAGAGGTAAATACTGTAGACAGAGTACAGAGTATGCATTATATTATTTACTTTTGTTGGCAAACTATCATAAGTTTGTAATACATTTCACCAGATTTTTTTCGAGGGTATAACACATAAACTCTATTTCAGGACAGACATGTTAGTTCATGTTATAAATCAGACAGACCAAGTGATGCCCATCCCAGTGGTCTTGCAACGTCTGGATCTCGGTTATTCAACTTTGAGAAACAGCTCAGAAACTTTCTTTATTGAAAATGTATTTGTAAGTATTTATAATCCATATTTTAAAAAATAGAATGATTTCAGATGTTTTTTTTTTTTTTATTCTTGACTTAAATTTTTATTATTTTTTTCTTACACATTCAATACATTAAATAACATGATGAAATATTTGTGGTACTTCTATATTATTATGTCATTTTTAAATCACCCAATTCTTAATGAACAGAGAAACTGTCTGTGCACCAAGAAAAAAGAAGAAAAATATATATATATTATAAATTGCAAACCAAATAATAACGCACATTCTCACCAGCCTGCAACAGTGGAGGCCCAGAGGGACGAGGTGGATGCACGTCTTGCAGGTCTTATTGCACTTATGATCGTTCTCTTCATTGGCTTCATCTCCTTCATTGTTGTTTGTTGTTGCCTTAGATACTGGTAAGATTTTATTTCATCGATATTGTTTTATTTGATATGCATTCCTGAAAACGAAAATTAAGTCTGGATGTTCTAATTGGATTTGTATTGCTAAATCTTAACGAGTTACAGAAAGATTTTGTAAAATGAATTTGGCAAAGTCATAAACAAGAGAGCAATAACTATTTGATGTATTTATCTTTTATTTTGCTGTTTATCTCTTAGGGTAATGACTCCATCGAGCAGATCAACAGAGCATTTGATCAAACGTAATATTGATGAAGATTTGGGTCTAAACACTACAGAAAATCCACTGTGGGTTGACCAGTAAGTATTCACCCTTATGCAAGCTTTGAGTGTGCTTAAAATTATTGTAATTTAAAAGCCAAGGTTATGACATTCACGGTAAATCAGTTACCTATTTCTTAAAATAATGTTCATTATTCCTACTCAAATAACTTTCCTCCCTTTTAAATGATATTTTTTTCTTTCACAGGAAATTGAAAATGTATGAAGAACAGGAACTGACAATGCAAGTAATGAGTGAGTTTGACACAACCCAAGTGAACGGTGCTCCTCCTCCAGGCCAGGGTCCAAGCGTCACGGTCGATGCGGAATGGACTCCTGACCGAAGATCGAGTATAGACTTATCACAGGTCTGTTCTGCAAATTCAGTAGTGTTTTTCATGTGAAGATATTATTGGTAGATATACACAAATTACGTAGCATGCTTTTACATAAGAAACTAAATTTTCAGCCTACCTGGGAATTGCTTCACAGTAAAATAAACCATATTCTTTATGCCAAACATACATTTTCATGTTAAATATGAAGGTCAAATAAAGATTTAACATTTTACATACACCAGTAATTACACTCCATTATGCTAAAACTCTTTTACAATACTTTCCAGTTGGATGCACAGAGTAACACATATGCTACGATCCAAAAGTCCCACGGAGGTACACTGCGATCATTGCAACTGCGAGGACTGCAACAGGGGACACTAACTCTTGGAGAAGATCCTGGGGAGAGCAATGATTATGCAACCCTTGATCATCTAAGACGTCCTTCCTCTGCCCAGGGTCCTCGAGTCCCCGGTGTGGAAACTCCTAGATCACCTCTGCATCAGGTGCTGTATATGGCTTGACCTCTCCTGATTGTTTCAGCATGTTATACAACAGTTGATGTTTTAGTGATGGAAAAATGTAATATTCATGTTTTATTATTATTAATATTATTAAATTTTAAAAAACAGGTCAACATTTTATAAATAGTAGTTGTAAGATCAAGCCAAAAAAGAGACCTCCTATTACTTGAGTTTATTTTGCAATCATTCAAAAGAAAAGAAAATAATGGTTTCCCCCCCCCCCCCCATACCATCAGAATGGTGAGTACCACGAACTACGAACATCCTTCACTGGGTCGACCTTCCAGCCTCCGGACATAGCCAATCGCCCTCTGCCGGAAGAACCAAATGGCTCAGTGCATAATGCAACCCACAGCCTTGCCCTGAATGCCCAAGGAGAACCAGTCCTTATTGCTGAACTCATTTAATACTTATTGATGCAGGTTATCTTCTCTGTGCAATGGAAATTTACAAGAAAGTTATTTTTTGTATTAGATAAAAGAAACATCTATATGTAAAGATATGCATGAATGTATATATATGTATGTGTATATACATTTACAATATATATATATATATATATATATATATATATATATATATATATATATATATATATATATATATATATATATATACAAATACATATACATACATATATAGTGTATTATCAAGACTTTATTTTTTAGCTATCCAGAATGTGGTGAAGTAAAAATAATAAGGTTGTATTTAATTCATTTTTGAAAAATTAATAAGATATGATATCATTTACTGTTTATATACTGATTCATATAAACATTATATATATATATATATATAAACATTATATATATATATATATATATATATATATATATATATATATATATATATATATATATATATATATATATATATATATTACAGCAGAATTCAGCTTTTAAACACTCTCCTGAATTACTCATTATAAGCTGAATCAATAAGGGTATTCATGAAAATTGGAGATAATGAACATTTTTATTTTCTTTTTTCTGTTACTTGTGTATATGGATGTTGTTTTGATGTGATATTGAACTACAGCTGTAGTTTCAGTTTTATTTAAATTTGCTACTGTACCATTAAGAAACAAAATATATTATTATTTTGTAAATAAGAAAAACAACTTGTCTACAGAAAGTGGCTCTCATTCATTGAAAAGAGATGCAGAATACATCACTTGTTTCAAAGATCCAATGTCTAGATTTTTAGTACAAAGACACCAAAATGAAGCACTCAGACCCTGTTTAAATATCTGTTCATAATTCTTTTAATCACTTTCCTTTAAAGATTCTTATAAATAAAAATGTTTATTATAAATGCACTTCCACTATCTGCCTCTCATACCATGTCATCAGAAATCTGTTACTATTACCTTAAACCAGCTGCAAATACAATAACCAATATCTTGAAGATGGTTATAATGCTCAGGAAACTAAGAGGCTTTTGTGAGAGACTTCCCTTTGTTAAGCTCCTAGGTTTCCGACATCAACTTACTGCAGTGTTGTGGTTTTCGTAATAGGTTTGTTTATACTTTCATAATATGTAAACAAGTTAAAATCAACTGGTGCAGTCACAAGCTGTACTTAGGTATTCACACTGTATTCATCTTGTACATAGCATTCTCATTAATTTAACTATTAAGGTTAATATATTACTTTATTTGGGCTACTTTGTGACATGAGTATTGGAAAAAAAAAAAAATTGTTAATTATTTTGGAGATCTGAACTTCAAAGTGTTTCCTTTACTTGGCTATTTAGTTGTAATTAACCAAACAGTATGAGGTCCTATGGTGGTTATTATCATTATATTATTATTCATGTATTTTTCTTTTCATCAAATGTCAACTTTGGCGATGTGTTAAAAAGGTGTGTAATAATTTCTCTGTAAATAAAGTACTATTGCACACATCAACAAGCAGGTAATCATAGTATACATTACCAAATGTATTATAGAACTATAGAATATTATTATATTCTTGAATATATGGTCAGTTTTCTTGACTCACAGATATATATTCCCATTTAATTTTCCTCTGTTCTATAACAGCCATGTAAACGTGCCTTATGTCTATTTGAATGTCTGTATATTAATTAGCTTAAGTTGTAATGTTGTGTAATTAACAATATGAAAGTTTAAAAACAATAAAAAATATTGTTTCAATTAAACCTAAAACATAGATAAATTTTTCTTTTAAGGTAACCTTATCTCCTATATTGTTCATATTGCTTATGGCCATCTGAAAAAATTATGTCATATGGAAAGTTGTTATGATGACAAATAAAAAAGTAAAACAAGGAATATGCCTACAATAAGGAATTGCAGGGTTGCTATCACACCGAAGCACAGGAAGTGTGGATGTCTTCAAAATTTCACCTCCTTCAGTAATTTTGTTTTACAATCTACAAAAAAAATTTAGTTGAAAGATAATACCCATGCTAAATAAGACAGGAATGAATGATTATTAATAAAATGCTGTACCTCCTACATTCTGTCAATTTATTTAGATACAACAACTCTATAATTCAAGAATCAACAAAAGTATACGATTATCACCTGCACAATAAATCACTAACCTGATGGCACTGAAGGCCAAAACTACATTAGATAAATTACATGTTCACAATAAATACAGTCTATTCCAATTCATATATCTAGTGAGTTAAATATAATATAAACATCATTAAAATATATATATTTCACTCTGTAATAAAATATCT